TCTAGAATCTGAACTATTATAATAAAGTTGAAAATAGGCCTTTCTCTCTTTTTTTTGTGCGTCTTCCTCTAGGCTTCAGATTTCTAAGATACTGGAGTAAATTTATGAAGTTGAAGCTATTTCCAAGTACTCTTTTAGAGAAAAGAATGCTTTGGTAATATTTTGATAATCTCATAGATACTCTTTATTCTTAGGTATCCATGTATGGATAAATAAATGGCTAGTGATAGAAATCAAGGAATTATTGTTTGATCTCAACAAACATTTATTCATCTACTATGAATTAAGGCATTGGGTGAGGAACTGGGGATATGAAACACACAATTCCTCTCCTCAGATTGCTCACAGTCTAGTCATAGTTACACAGAAGCACTAACCCCAACAGTTATGAACTGTGGGTTAGGCTCTGAGGCACAGGGATAAGGGGTACCTAACCCACATATGGGAGCTGGTAGAGTCAGGAAAGGCTTTCTGAACTAGGGGAGCCTTGAAGGATAAACTAGACAGATAGAAGGCCATAATCAGACGAGTAAGAACATAAAACAAATATGGTGTCGTTGAGGAACTAACTGCATGTCATTCAGTGTGGTAGGGGCAGGAAGAGCGAGGGGTGGGGAGTGACTCTGACAAGCATACGAAAGCCAGATTATGTGTTAGGCACCTACTTAACAGTTAGGATTTCCCCCCTTTGGAGCTATGGGAATAGTTGAGCATTTGAATCAGGGAAGTGGCACAATGAGCTGTGCATTTGGAAAGATTGCTCTGGCAGTAGCAAGAGGCTCGGATGGGAAGAGTGGTAGACTGGAGGCAAAGAGACAGCTTCCTCATCTCCAAGAAGGAGAGTAAAGTATCTCACCGTGAGGATGAAGTGGGCTAATAAGTGTCTGCCTGATGGGAAGCCACCACAGAGTAAATGCCAAAGAAATGGTAGCGATTTTACCAGTCATGAAATTTAACCATTCACTAAGACAACAAACATGGTACAATGGGTACCTAGAATCCAAGCTTCACACAGAGGGATTTTTATTCCTTTGTCCTTTACTCATTTCCCCTCTTGCCTAGAACTCTGCCCAGCACATAGTAGGTACTCAACCATTTGTTTATTTTTTTTTTCAACCATTAAATGAATTAATGACTTAACTTTGAGAATTTATTAATGACTTAACTTTGAGAATTTAGTTTTGGACTTTTAGAGATATCTAAATGAGTTGACCATTATCCTCACCGGAGGATATTTTTTCCATTGCTTTTTATAGCGAGTAAAAGGGAAGGAGGGAGGAGAGAGAGAAAAACTTCCATGTGAGAGAGATGCATTGATTGATTGCCTCCTGCATGCACCCCTACTGGGACCCGGATCAAACCTACGATCTTCATAGCTCTGGCCTTCAGAGCTCCGGCCGACCACTAATCATTTAGCAGCACTGGCCAGGGTGGCAGTTGCACTTCTTGATCTGGCATTCAGAAGACATGTGGACGGACATAGAAATGTGGAGGTCAGGGTAAATGGATGGTAATTAAAGCGATGGGATGGGTTACATCCCCTAGAGCAAGCGCATTCAGCAGTATTGAACTTTTTTGAGGTTTGTACCCTTTGGAGACTCTGATGAACCCTAGGGATCCTCTCTGCACGGAAGTGTACATATGTAAACAAATTGCCACAGGGGTGCCTATGTGAGGAGCTCTGCACCTAAGGTGAAGAATCTGTGGTGTGCAGTTAAATAGACGTCTGCGGGCACCTCCAGCAATAGCAACATTTAGAGGGTGGACAGGAAGTTAGTGAACACGAAAAGAGGAAAATCAGGAAAGACTGGTATCATTTTAAACTGAGAATTTCCTAAAGGTGAGAGTGCCAAAAACCACAGATAAGTCAGAGAAAATGTGAAATGTCCATTGCGTTTGACCATCAGAGGTCTTTGGTGACTTCAGTAAGATAAATTTCCATTGAATGGTATGGGGGAAAGGAAGCTAGAGTTCGGGGATTGCATAAAACATCAAGGAAGTGATGAAGAAATTGAGACAACTAGGAGAAATTCTTCTATTTAACAAATGTTTATTGAGTACCGACCAGGCACTATGCGGGAGGCTGGGGATTGAACCGTGAGGCTGGATGTGGTCTCCTCCCTTAGCTGACATTCTTATTGTATATTTGCTGGACCACTTCCCCAACGCCATACCCCCACCCAGACAAAGCCCAGAAATGAGTTTCTCCTGGTGCACCACTGGGGACTCGGCGGTTCTGCTGGATCAGAGCCAGGCTATTCAACTGCTCTTCTCTCTTGGGCACCAGGGAGCAAATTGTCCTCGCTAATGTCAGCCTTTAAAGTCAGGGACACACTTGAAAGTATCCTTGAGTTTGTCCAGTGCTCACAATGATCCTGTTATTTAGTGAATTTATAAAAATCATTTCAATATTTATTTTTGCTTTAGTTCATACTAACTTGTGCTAATGACTTGTATAAGCTTTTATTTGCGGTATTAGATGTTGGTCCTAAATGTAGAAAAGAGGCATGAATACCAGGCCTAAGGAAACCTTTCTCATAGACCTAATCCTAGACTTTCTGTATGTGGGGATCTCTCATTTGCCTTTTTATTTAAAACTAACTCTCTCTCTCTCTCTCTCTCTCTCTCTCTCTCTCTCTCTCTCTTCTTAGGGCCTTATTATCTTTATGGGTAGACGCTGCTTCAAGATAGCTGTGCTTTCATAAGGGTAGTGTGTGTGTGTGTGTGTGTGTGTGTGTGTGTGTGTGTGTGTGTGGCGGGAAGTCGAGGAGTCTCTCTTCTTGGTGTCTGGTTTTTTGCCCCTGGCACTATACTGGGCCAGTGGATTTAGAGAATGGTATACAGTGATTCTCAGGTTTATTTCTTATATTAGAACTGAAAATAAAATTATCCCATAAATAGGATTTAGATTCTTCCAAAAGTACACCAGGTTGCCCCTGCTTTCAGTGAAATTCACCTACCTGTTTTCTGCTTACTCACTTTGCCTTTTAAAAAATTTAACTGCATTTTATCTCCTAATGGCTTTTCAGTTGCAAATTTAGAGAATGCAATATGTTCTATCTTCCAGATTATTTCTAAAAATGTTAAATAAGAACAAGCCTGGTACTGATCTATTTCTTTCTCATCATGTTTTCCCCTAATGTTTAAAGATTCCATTCTTTGGTACATATTTCTTTACATATTATGGACTATAGCAAAAGTATACAGATGTCTGTAAAATACCCAGAATAGTGCTCTGAGGTATTGTAGGTATCAGTAAATAGTTCTGATTGTGCCAGTTTCTCTAGGGTCTATAGATTGTTTGTTAGCTCCTGTGTTCTTTTTCTTTTTTTAAGATTTTTATTGATTTAAGAGAGGAAGGGAGAGAGAGATAGAAACATCAGTGATGAGAGAGAATAATTGATTGGCTGCCTCCTGCATGCCCCACCACTGGGGATTGAGGCCTGGGCATGTGCCCTGACTGGGAATTGAACCATGACCTCCTGGTTCATAGGTTGACACTCAACTACTGAGCCACACCTGCCAGGCTCCGATGTTCTTTTCAGAATTGTTTGAATGATTATTAATTTGAGTGGGAGCATGATGGTATTATATTGGTAATATACCAGCCAACATTATTATTATGCAGTAAATTTTTGATAAGTGTGGTTATACATTTTGCCAAACAATTCTTATAGATACAGCAAAAAACTATGTATTCTCAATGTGGTTTGTGATTTTTAATTTTGATTTCTTTGTTTATTTTAAAAATAGGAAGCTTAATTTTGGAATTAATCTCTTTGCCCTTTGTGTAATCTATTAGAGCTTATAACATAATAAATATAGCATAACTAAAACATATAATAAAATTCTTTAGGATCTTATTAGAATACTAAAAAAATTAGAAAATCTATTTTATGGGACAAATAAGAAACATCACAAACTCATTAAACATTCACATAGATTGTTCTATTTGAATATTTAATAATATAAAGTAGGGAGATTATAAAATTTATATTCAGAGGTCAAAACTTTTCCAAGATCATTTACTTGTAAAGGGCCCAGTTAAAACTTCGACCAGGACTTCTGGACTGAAGTACATCTTGGATGCTTTTTTCATTATTTCCTTTTAATAAGAGAAACTCTTACATTCAATAAATATTCTCCCAAACATTGTATATCTATAGTAACAGTTACTGATTACAATAATGACACAGATGTCCAGTGTGTATGTAAGAAAAGGTTTATGTTTTTTAATAGAGGCTGAAATACAGAAGCCTGGGGATCACAAAGGGTAAATTCTCAGTTAACCAGAATTTTTAATGAAGCCAGAAGCCTTAAGCAGTCATATTTGTAGACAGCTTTTTCAGAATCCCCAGGTTTCTTACAGTAGAAACAATAAGCACTCTAATTACCTTCCTCCTCTCTTTTAGTCCTTTCAGTCATTGGACTGAGTTTAGTTCAAGCAGATTCTTGCATATTCCCGGTCCTTGAAAACCTTTCCAGTCAGTGGCCATTCAACATCTTTTTACATGTTTCCTTAAATTCACTACATCTATAAACTGCATCAGTAGAAATGTATATTTTTTTAAAAATTTGTTTCACTTCTTGTTTATTATATATTCATGGGTGGAATATTCTAAATCTGCATTAACTATTGTAAGCTACAAATGCTTCCAGTGCTACATAGTTAATGCCACCATGGCAGATATTCACTCCTTAAAATATGCCTGCACATGGCGCTTGCCCCTCCCCCTCTCTCCCCCTCCTCCCTTCTTCCCCTCACACACGCACACGCGTATACACACACACACACACACACACACACACACACACGCGTGCGCAAAGCACACACCAAACTGCCATTCTCCAGCAGGCCTGTTTCTGGAGTTGGGAGCTGTGAGCCTGCTGGGAGGGGGTGGGAGGAGGAGGAAGAGGTGGGGCTCTACTCTGATTAATTGCCTTAGGCATTCAGGGGTGGGGCTTCCTTCAGCCATCTGCCTGAGATATGGGAGGGAGCTGGAGAACGAAGGAGGGGGAGAGACTGCCAGAGAGGAAGAGAAAAGAAAGGAAGAAACACTAGAAAGAAAAAGGAAGAGGGGATAAAGGGAGATCAATCATTTACCCTTAAATAGCTAGACTGAGGGGGGGAGGGGGGGAAAGAAGGCCGTGGAAGGTGTGCCCTAGCACGACTGCTTTGAAGTGTTCATCATCATTCCCTTTGGTTTATGGAGAAAAAGAAAATGGTAACTCAGGTAAGATTTGTGTTTCCTCGGTGTGTTTCTTTTCCCGTTTCTGGGATCGAAATAAAGATATGGGGGTGGGGTATAGCCATTAGAGTTTTAATTATTATTGTCTTCTTAGAGAAGACCAGATTTATTGTTATCAACTGAAAAGTCTGCGTGTGTTGTGAGTTCATGAGAGAGAGAGGGAAAGAGCGATGTATCCGTAGCCTTTCCTCCCCCCACCCCCTCCGTAGCAGATTCCTGTTTCCTGTACGGTGCAGCTGTAGCTCAGGAAAAACCCTGTGGGGATTTGTCTACCTCTTTGTCTTGGTTCTGAGAAGAGGGAGGGAGAGAGAGAGACTGCAGAGGTAGGAAGAGATTCTCGTAGACTGCCAAAAAGAGGGGAGAGGGATTGACTTCCTTTTAAGAATTGCAGAAGAATTTGTGTTACGGAGAAATCTGATTCCCGATTCACTTGGGTTTCTCAGAATTGGCGATGGAATTGCAGTTTTGCTACTTTCGCTCCAGATGGCTTATTAAAAATGAAGACTAGGAAAATGTTTCCATTCTCCTGGCTTTGTTACTGGCAAAGAATGTTCTCAGTAGGAACCATAGGAGCATGCAGGTGCAGCAGAGGCAGGTAAAGCTCCCTGACAGAACAGATCTGAGTGTATAAATGACGATCACGGGGGCATTAAAAGGCAATCTCTCTCTCTCTCTCTCTCTCTCTCTCTCTCTCTCTCTCTCTCTCTCTCTCTCTCTCTCTCCCTCTGTCTTTGGTTATGCCAGGCAATATCTAATCTGCATTTTAGCAAGTCATTCCTGGCCAATGGAAGGTGCATACTCTTCTGTGGTCCCCGGCAGTGCTATCGTTCTTGTTGCCACCCTTTTGTGTGTTCCTTCCCCCTTTTCCTTTCTATAGGTAGAGAGAGGGAGTAATGAGTATGTGGTTTATCAGTGAGAAATCATTTGCGCTACAGAACGTGCATGTCCTTTAGTCTCAGACTTCGGGTCATTTTCACTGCAGGCTTTTATGCTCTGTAGGGAAATTTCATCACTGGACAGTGCTTTCCTTTTAAGGAGGTTGCCCCCTTTTTTTGTACTCTCTCTTCTCTGCCTCTCCAAGTCACCACCGGAGGGCGAGAGAGTCAGCTAGCCATGGGGACATAGGCATCAGTTTAGGAGCTGGGAGCCCCGCTCTGTTAAATGTTATATAATGCCCCGCAGTCCTGTTGGGAAGGAGGGACAGCATTAGGCAGATTTTCTCAACGCGACCTAGAGGAAAGGGAACTTTCAAAGAATATTTTTCCAAAGTAATTCTTCACTAAATCTGAGTTTGGAGGTTATCAAGAAATCTCTCCCTCCTTTAGAAAGTGGAGACCGTTAAAATATTTTCTCTTCTATCTCGTATCCCTTTATTGTCAACCTAATTCACTCTTTTGAAATATTGCTTTACTTTTAAAAAAATTTCCATAGAGAGGAAACCTATTTCTGCATTCTCTTTGTTGCTTGGGAGATGATACTTGTTAACCTTGGAGCCCTCATTCAATTTTCATTAACTGGCAATATTAGAGGGTATGGGCTCTGTTCTTTCTCAGCTGTTCCTGAAGGCTTTTCAACTACTTGACTTTTCATTATATATATTTTTAAATCAGTGAAAGAGTTATTGAAACTAGGACTTTTTATACATCTTGGAACATGCCCCCTTAGTTTCTGAGGAGCTGGTTAAGCATGTGTAAGCACAGGCTGGAATGCACAGGCATATGCACACTTAATATTGTGTTCTTACTATTGGTATTTAAGGAAACTATCATTTTAAGAATGAAGCAAAAGAGATATAGAAACAGGAAAGGGATGCTGAGGAAGTATAATAGATAAACTAAAATCATCATGATTATTCTCAGGATGTGCTGAATGCTGAAGGAAACAACTTGTCTTTGGCCCTCCTAAATTTATACAATGGGAAAGTATAGAATATCAAATTTGTCAGTTTTCACTATCCCATCATACTTGTTTGGTGTACACTTTCTATGTTAATGTAATGTACGTAGTTGTTGGTCATCTAGGGGGAAAAAATCAAAGGACATAACCAGATGGGCCAAATGTTTACCTGTCCTGTGGGTGTGTTTTTTGGGACGAGGTGTTTTTTTGTTTTGAGGGGAATTTGTTGGTCAAGCCAGATATCTAATCTAAATATATGATACTGATCTGTCACATGAGTGTCTAAATAAAAACTGTATTGTTAGGGTTTGGTTTTCAAAGTTAGATGGTTTATTATTGTATTTAATATCTTGATTAGTATATTAGGACAATTATTTAGATGGGATTTCACCATTTGTCACCTAAGTTCTGCTTCTCCGATCTTAACATTTCTATATCCCTTAGTTTCCATCACTCACCCAGTGGAATAGGGAAAAGAGCTCTCAGGGGATGACATTTTCATCATACAATTTAGATCTATATCAGTACTTGCAATATGTGTGCACTTTATTATTATGCATGCTCTAGTTTTATAAGGCCTCTTTTTTGTTTAATTAACAAACTACTTTGTGATTTACAATAAGTAATCAGTGCTTTGCCTTAAAAAAACAAATAGAGCCCTGACTGGGTGGTTCAGTTGGTTGGAGCTTCGTCCTAAACACTAAAAACGGTTGCAGGTTCAATACTCAGTCAGCAACTGATAGATGTTTCTCTCTCACATCTCTCTCTCTCTCTCTCTCTCTCTCTCTCAAAATCAATAAAAACATATCCTCAGGTGAGGATTTTTTTTAAGCAAATAGGAATTTAATCACAAAATTTTAATATGGCAGACATGGTAGTGCCATATTTTTTTATAACTAGGTTTTTCTCGTTCATGTATATGTTGTAGGAGTATTTCACTGAGATAACTCTTTATTTCTGAACATGTGAACCAAATTATTGTGTCTTCTTATATCTATGCAAAATAACAATATGGAATTAAAGGAAGGAAAAGAGGAAAAATCATTTTTGTAATATGTGTAAGATTAGAAAAACAAAATCGCAAATGACTCCAGCTCCAATTAATTTTTTTAAATGTTTAGCCAGACTCAGACTCAGTTATACTATTTGTTGCTGAAAGGGAGAATATACTAAGCAGAAAGGAAAAGATTTTACAGTTGGATGTGTAGGGCTGCCAGTTTCTGTGGAACACAAAGCCCTCCCTTTCTTGGACAGCTCAGTGCTTTGCTGGCATTTTCTTCAAAATCTGGTTTCCATCAGGACCAAGAGGAGGGAAGGTGTTAAGAATAAGGGAGGTTGGAAAGGGGGTGGCTGTTCCTTTAAATAGTGCAGTGAGCCCATGTGGCTGCAGGCCTCTCTTGAGTGTATTCTTTTGTAATGAATCACCGGTTCCATTGTCTGCTATCTCCCCTTTGTAGCTGGAAGGCTGAAGTCTTTCACCTGAGCTGCTGCCAGTTAGCTATTCTCTTCCAGGGTGGCTGGGAGAAGAGGAGAGGGACGGTATTTTATGGTTTAATTAAAGACAGATAAGAGAGCAGGTATGTTTTGCTCTGTCTCAGTTTTTTCCTGTCCTTTTAGGGTTTTGTTTGTTTTTTGTCTTTTTGAAATGAGTTGGAGTAAGGAATCTGTTCTATGGTTTTGCTAAGCATATCCAATTTTCTGCGATTTTTGCAAGTCCTCAGTGATTATTTAGTCTCCATTTTGTGGCATTGCTTTAAAGTGATTCCATTCGGTTGCCTGCCAGTTCCACCCGAACCTCATCCCACCCTTCATCCACAGAGCTTCAGCCCACACTGTTTGTTTTGGCCACTTTCCACTTTCTATGTGCTGCACAGGACTCTGGGAAGTTGGGGGGTAGGCGGAGGTTGTGGGTTGGAGAGTAATTTATGTTCCTTTACCATGAATCAAAAAAAAGCCTCACTTTTTCCAGAGATTTGGTTTCTTTCTGAATTCTACACTACTCCATATCTTCAGTTCTAACCATTTCCTTGCCAAGACCAAGACTGGCTCTTGAAAAATACGGCTATGCTAAAAATTATGTAGTTTTCCTGAAAGACACTCAGAATTCCACAAATATGATGAAATTTGACTCATTAAATGGTTTTTCTTCCCATTCACATGTCCCCACCTCAAGCACACACCCCTTTTGCCCCTTCCCTTTATTTTTTCCTTTATCTTTCTCCTTAGTTTTGCAGTTAGGTAAGCTTAGCGTTAGACCATCTGCTGTTCAAGTTTATATTGCTACACAGGACATCTCCAAGTTGAAAGTTGAAAGGTGAATGACACGCCTCATCCCTCTCGGTGTTTCTTGGACATTTGTGTGTGGCACTCAGACAGATCTTCCCTAGGAACCAGTCACAGTGATGGGGCAGCCCTCTGCCCACAAGCGTCCTTCTGGTGGACTGTTCCTCTGGAATCTAACTGTGTTGGTGTCCCCAGCATTCCCTTCTGGAGTCATAATTCCTCCCTCTTCCCCTCTCCCCCCAACATTCCCAGACCACTGTCAAATCTTTCTTAAACATTTCTACGCAACACTTCACATATTAAATCCAGCCAACGCAAATGGAATGTGGGATCTCCTGCAGTAAATGGTGTGCTGTTTTGAATGTAGTGACTCTGTTATTGGACTCCAGGCTCACTCCTCTCTACGCAGTCCGAAAGTGCAGCCTGCCGAGCTGTATTGTTTCCATTTTCAGATGCTTAAACGTCCCTCTCCGACTTTTGGAATGATTGAATTCAGGACACCTTGGCATCAAATAATTCATTAGAGGTCATTGCCAGAGTGAACCATTTAAAATTCAGGTCTGATTTTTGCCACTCCTGTGCTTAAAACCTTCCCGTTGTTTCCCTTCAGGCTCAGAGTAAAATCCTGTGTCCCTACTCCAGTCTCCGAGGCCCTGCGTGATTGTAACCTGGGCTATCTCTACAACCTCATCTCCTGCTGCTCTTCTCTTCCCATATTTCGCACCAATGACACTGACCTCTCTGCTGTTCCCTTAACACATCTGCATTCTCCTCAGGGCCTTTCTGTTTTCTCTCGGCTGGAAATG